CAGATTTTGTTATAAGGACGGTTTCTTGATGTTGGTTTCATTTTCAAGATTAGAGTTTTGTATACGTATCAAGAAACTAGAGAGGATTTGATTTTTGTGTTTGCTTGTGTTTGTTCTTCAGGTGCAAGAAGGATATGAACAGTTTGGTTCTGTCTCTTGCTCCGAAATTCGTTAAGCTTCAGACTTTAGTACTGCGACAGGACAAACCGCAGCTTGAGGACAACGGCGTGGAAGCCATAGCGAATCATTNTCACGAGCTACAAGATCTTGACCTGAGCAAAAGCTTGAAATTCACTGACCATTCCCTCTATTCTCTGGCTCGCGGTTGCACGAACCTCACTAAACTCAACCTTAGCGGATGCACTTCGTTCAACGACACTGCTCTCGCGTATTTGACAAGATTTTGCCGGAAGCTCAAGATTCTGAATCTTTGTGGTTGTGTGGAAGCTGTGACAGACAATACATTGCAGGTGCCTTTTAACATTCAACTCTCCATATATCTTCAGCTTTCTATGTTCTTTGTATCAATAACCGAAACAACGGTCAACATTTTGTTTATTCATTATGCAGGCTATTGGAGAAAACTGCAATCAAATGCAGTCACTGAATTTGGGATGGTGTGAGAATATAAGTGATGATGGAGTCATGTGTTTAGCTTATGGGTGTCCTGATCTAAGAACTCTTGATCTCTGTAACTGTGTTCTAATTACAGGTAAAATCTCTCAAAGTTTAAGGCTTTACGAAACTCCGAATCAGACTGTTCTTTTTTAGTCACTCTTTAAACATTTTTGTTTTGCTCTTTTGTTGCAGATGAGAGTGTGGTGGCTTTGGCGAATCGGTGTGTACACTTGAGGTCATTGGGGTTATACTACTGCAGAAACATTACAGACAGAGCGATGTACTCGCTAGCTCAGAGCGGAGTAAAGAACAAGCACGAGTTGTGGCGATCCGTTAAGAAAGGCAAATTCGATGATGAAGGACTAAGAAGCCTTAACATTAGTCAATGCACTTATCTCACACCTTCGGCGGTCCAAGCGGTCTGCGATACATTCCCCGCACTCCACACTTGTTCGGGCAGGCATTCGCTAGTCATGAGTGGTTGTCTGAATTTAACATCGGTTCATTGTGCCTGCATTCTTCAGGCTCACCGCACCCACACAGCTTACCCTCATTCTGCTCATTGAACCGGTGTTTAAGCCAGAGGGTCTCTTTCTGCTATATGTACATATAAGCCTATGGGTTCATCAAAAAGCTTCTTTGAGTGTTTTTGTTTTTTTTCCTTATCTTTGACTTTGATCATGCAGTCTCAAGATTTAACATTTATACAACATAACAATCTTGTAATGATTAC